TTCCTGTTGTCATGTAGCCGGCTGTATTGTGGTGATATATGATAACATGAATTACTGCACAAAGATGCAACATAGGCTATTCTGACTTGATACTAAATACTTAATATGTTGTACCGTTTTAAATTTTTACTTGTGTGTATTCATTCTCCCTTCTTGGCTCTTTGTGGTTTATAGGTAGACTCCGAGGTTGATCATAGACCCTTTTTCGATTCATCAAACGAGAAATCCTGGTATGCTTGACTTTTATTTCGCTATATTATCACTGTTTTGTCTAAATCAACCGAATATTATGGAAACTAATATTTTATGTTCAAATAATACAAACCCACTATATCTTATATTAACACTTAGCTCTGTCATTATTAGAAACGAGTCACATTCTCCTTCACATCCTCTTTTGCACATGTAAGTATGTTTGTTTAAAAATAGCAAAAGGAAAAAGAAAAAAAAAGGTTAGTGCATTTATCAATCAATTTAGAGATGATGTTGTGCAACCTACATTCATGGATGTTCTCTTACCCTACCCTTTAAAAAAGTGCACGACAGTGCGGGCAAAAACCCTGAACAGAGTCATGCTTTATGTTTAAATTGAGTTTGTTGTAGTTCAGGGCCTAAAAAATTAGATGCTATGACTGTGGCTCCTCCTTAGCACACTGGACATCTGTTCAGATGCCAGCCAGATCATTTCCAGCTGTCCCCAAACGATGATTTCACCAGGGATAACTAAAGTGAGTATCGTCTGTGATCCACTGCATTCCGCGAGTTTCAATTTACTTTCACGTTCCACTTACTGACCCAACATAGATTTGAGGAATTGGTGTGATGTTAATGGCAGCCACTACAGCAGCTGGAATACATAATATCTTAAAAAGAAAAACTAAAATTACTCAATATATTACATTGTGATTTTCTTAACAAAAAGTTTAGGTTTGTTCAAGCGTATTTGCAAGTGGCTCACCTTGCACTTCTCAGACAACATAAAATGGGTAAGAGTTGGGTTGTCTATTGTGTAGAACAAATACCATTTAAGACACCCAGCATCCCGTTTACGCACAGCATTAGACAATCCACTAACCCCTGTGCCTTTGACAGAAGACTGATGTAATGACAACCGTTGCATGCTCTCTGCCTGTGCCACTCCCAAAGAGAACAGGCATCAGAGTGTGGATTCACAAAGTGAAAGACCGTATCTTGCCCAAAGTCCTGCAGCAAACACCTGGTCACTGCAGGTGAGTTTTAGCTTTCGTATTGTACGCTTCTTTTTTCGACACAATGTCTAAAACAATTAAAACACTATGGCCTCAGAATGAGGTCTGTTAAAATCCAGACGATATGTGTTTTGTAGAAACCAGGTGAGACACTGTATGTTTGTTGTGACTCTGTGCTGTCTCACAAGGAGAAAACAAACTGCTGAAACTCCCCAGCCATGTCACTGAGATGAAGTCTTATCCAGTTCTGCACTCGGCACTCTTCACTACAGGCCATCAGTATGAAAAGCAAAGTGGAATATAAAATGAAACGCTTGAAGTGAAACTTTTTCATTTCTATTATACGTGGTCCTCTTATCAGCTATTCTCTCTCTAGGACAGTTCAATCCAGTTTGCACCCTGTTGTTTGTTTTATCAGAAGAAAACTGGAGACCCTGTTTGCCCCAAAAACCATGACTGTGAGGTGACTTCCTTTTTTTCTGTGTCAGTGTATTGCTTGACGCACAACCCACACATCACAGCATGTAAGTGTCACTATCTCTCTGTCTTGCCCTGCAGATGCTTTAATGAAGCTCATGGAGAGATTCTGCAATCTTGTACCTAAGAGCTATAAGGACCGATGTGATTGATTTCGTCCGACAAATTACGGCGTACAGATTGTCGTAGAATTCCTCTTATCGTCCGCTGCGCCTCACACAATATATGTACTCTACTTGCACCTCTGTTTGTGTTCGAGGAGCCTGGTTCAGGTCAGTCACAGCGTTCATATCATGAGTCAATTTTGGTGCAGCATTTGTCGTATGATCCATGCCAAGTTAACGCTCGTACTGGATTTCCCAGAGGTGCTGCTTCCCCTCGGACTGTGAGTCGTGCCGCACGCTGGTGGTGCTGAGCCGACTGCACCTGGGTAATAACTCCACCGAACCCAGGATTCCTCTTTTGCTTCAGTCTGTGTGTGTCCATCACCCCAACGCCATCCCTAAGTCTGACCCTCACTTCAAATACTAACACTTAAGCACTCCAACTATACAAAATCCTTCACAAATCACTGTAACCTTTTTAAAAATATTCAGGTTTAAGCCAACCAACATGTTTTTGTCTGTGGTCCACACAGAAAATGTGTCTTGTGGACACATGTTTACAGTTACTCAGCTGATTATACCTTCACCTTCTCCATGTCCTGTTACTATATTCTTTTATAGTTTATTGCCTTGAATAAACCTAAACCTAACCTTAAATTTCAAGTGTTCAGTAAGGAAATTAAAGCAGTTTCTAATCGGTTAGATTAAGAAGAAAAAATCGTATGAAAAAATTTTAAGTTAACTCTCATTCTCTTTTCAGTGTGAGGCTTTCACTAAAATCTAATGGCTCCCGAATGCAGAAGGTTTTGGGAAACCAGAATGGATGTTCCACATGCTTGTGAAGTAAGAATAAGCTTTTTAAAAAAGTCAAAAGTACACATCAGGTCTATCTAAAGGGAGAAGACAAAAAGGAAAATCTTTATATCCTAAAGTCTTTATCCAGTATTACGGAATCCACAAGAGTGAATTGTGCTGCAGTAATGTTTAATCTTACTTCCACATATTAACAAGAGACCACCTTCACCATGGGTGACATTTAGGGCACTGGCAGAGTGAACTGTACCATCACTTAAAGGCAGCACACTTCCTCTGGTGACTAAAAAATATATAATTAGTTGATTCACGAGATAATTTACAAACACGCAAACAAATCATGAAGACAACGTAGCCAATTGAATGTTCCTGTGCACATATCATTCTTTGCTCTGGTTCAAATTCTGAGGATCTTTTGTCCTGTCTGTCCTGCAGAGAGCTGATCTGTGCTGTTGCCTCGAGGAAGTGGAGCCGCTGGGAAAGAATCGTTGTACTTGGGGACCAAGCTACTGGTGCAAAGACAGAGAAACTGCTCAGAAGTGTGGTGGTAAGTTAAAGGCAAACAATTATTGCTAATTAAGCTGATAAAAGTGACAAACAGGTCAGACCCCATCATCTGAAAATTACATGTTTCAACATGTTGCACGCATGTTTTTTACTTCATTCGTTTGCCCATAATCTGATATTGTGAATAATTTCAGGTTTTTTTTCACATCCTATTTCTGTGTATTTTCTCTCTGCAGAACCAGGCCTTCTGTGAGAAATACATGTGGAAGAATAATGAGTGAACCAAAACTGCAGCTGTAAAGATATGTGCACACAAAGAACCCCTTTCTTTTTTACAAATTATTACACTTATCAACAGTTTTAAATGTTTTCTAAATGTAATGCACTGAACATTTTTGTTTTACTTTTGGGGAAGTTATTCATCTCATATGCTAATTCAGTCAGACATAAATAGTAAATAATGAAATATTGTGATTTGCATGAAGTCATGAAGTGATGTGTCACAAGACTGGGGCTGGGATTCAGTCTTTAAGCATCAGTTTCTGTAGCAGGTTCCAGTTTTGTGAAGTGTTATTCTGTATATTTACAACATAGTATGATGCCATTATGAATGTAAAAAGTGGGGGGAAAAAAAGATTTTGTCCCTATGTAGCCATAAGATGAATTCTCAGAATGTACTAAGACAAATTTTGGACAACTGACTACTGCAACTGAATTGCAAAGGTGCTTATCCTATTATCTTATTGCCACAATACACACTCCTAAAATGAAATTAAACCAAAGGTTTGTCATTAAAAGTCAAAAGACAGCCAAACGTGTGTCCTGGAGCTTGTTTATTTAGAAACACCCACATAGTAAAAAGATAAAACAGTGAAAAAAAACATTGAGACATTTACATTTATTTGCTGGATATAGTCCTGATGCTCTCTTGCACTCTCGCCACTCTCATTCTATATTTTTGTCATTATTTTGAATCACATAAATACCAGTTCATTTTTTTATTTTATTTTTTTTCTAATGGCAACAACACTTCTGGCCATTCACCCTGAAGAAAATCCTGCCTCACTTACACCCCTGTGTGTTGTTTGTGTCATCATCAGTCTCTTGTCTCTTCAGATCTAGGAGAGAAAATACGCAATTACCAAAGCGAGCTCTATGTAAATGTAGGGTTAATTGATAGATTCAATTACCATTTTTAATTTATAATCATTTAAAAGATCATCTTGTATGAAATAAGACCTGGCTAAAACAAGTTTTTGAAAGCTGCTAACAACATCGTTTCTACTGAACTCTGTATCATTACCTCTGATCATTTTTACCAAGAAATTGCACGGTTTCATTCCCCACTTAGTTTATTCTTGCATCTTTGAAATCACCTAAATCATGTCTGAAGCTCTTCAGGAAGGGATGACCTGTTTTTTTATTTGATAGTGAGAAAAAATGTACTTACATTTTTTTGTTTTAATATCATTACAGAACGTTTAAAGAAAAACCATTTGCAGATTTTTAATAATGTTTTAAATGCATCTATGATTGGAAACGGAACCTGCATTATGTAAAGACTAAGAGTGGCCTATTTTTTTTTATTTAGCTCAGTTTATAACTATTGCTGCTACAATCAGAGGTTAAATACACCTAGATAGTCCATGCCATAATCAGAAACTATAACTGTCTGTTGTACTGAAGATTTGCCTCTAAAAAATTGAAAGACGTGCATCTGTGCTGTGAATGCCATCAGATGATAAGGTGATGATTTCATGTTGCATGGAAAAGTATGCAGCCAGAGCTCTGAAACATTTACATTTTCCAGCACATACACACAAAAAACTGCGTGGGAGACTTGCCTGGATGTAGGCCTCTGATAGTGTGATCATCTGGGGGAGAATGTCGGTCACTGCAGGTCCTGCATCTCATACCACTTCCCAGTTCCCTGATTAAGAGATATTATAACAGATGGTCAGTGATGACATTTAAACCCATGAGTGTAATTTAATGCGTTTGTGATTAATGCTACAACAAATCAGGCCAATTTCAGAAATATTCTGCTTGCAGCCTACATGATGCAGAACATGTATTCTGTATGCTCCCTCAGTGGGTTTCCCATCATGCGACCTACATTGGCGACGAGGTCATAAGTTGTGCTCTTCTCTGTAGCTTGAGCTTCTTCTGTCAAGTACTCACGCAGGTCCACATTCCTATTGAAGCAAATACAACAAACAAGTGACAATACGAACGAGTGCATATTTACACATGAGGGTAAAATACTCACGACCCTGACATCACTTATTGAAAGAGTTATATTGAACAATGATAACAACCAATTATTACTATTGTTAACATGCACTTCATGGTTTCATCAGGCACTCTGAATAAAAGCATAGATACTTTGTCTTACAGAATATGTACAGCACTTACGTGATAGGGAAGTTGACAATTGTCGGGTTCTTTTCCACAAAGAAGTTGTTCTTGGTGAATCTTTTGATGCAAAAAATGAGGTACGGAGGCAGTTTGGTCAACTGGAACCTTTTGAGAAAATTCTCTTTGTAGGTTTTGTATTCCTTAATGTAAATGAGACAGAAAAGTGAGCAGAGATAGTGTGTTTGCATCATCAATACCTGTGCCAATCTGACATCTAAACGAAGCTGTTGCAAAAATTATAAACTTTGCTCTAGGTCCGATTGTACGTCAAAACAGTACGATCCAGTCCTTGTCCAGAAAATATTTTTTGTAAAGACGAGGGAATCTGTACCTTCTCTGTGCTGCCGTTGAACTTGCCCAGGATGTTGAAGAGAGGGACCTGCGGGATAATAAGCTGCTCCTTCTCATCCTTGTACAGTGGAGCTGTTGGGAGGTCAAGTGTCAGAAACAGGAAGGTGGATTCAGACATCTGCTCCTGGTACTCCTCTGTCACAAGCAATGCTTCTTTCTCCTCTGGAGGCTGTAAAATGAAAAACAAAAACAAAAAAACACCATGTGGAAATTTAAATTATGTTTTCAAAGGGATTCAACAAAAATAGCATATATATGAGAGGTACATTTGAGGGCATGTGAAAAATTAAGAATATTCTCTCTGGCTTTTGCCTCATATCTGAGCTTAGGTTTTGATTGGGCCTCCAATTTTGACGAGAAAATAAACTCAGAAGTAAAGTGTTTTTCAGCTGTGGTCAAGCACTTTGTTTAAGTAGTTTTAAAAAATATGAATTATTCAATTCATTCATTATTAGAAACGTGAATCATATAGTTCATCATAAGTGTCAGTTAATGAGTTCAAATACAAGCTGCAGACTTACTAAATCTGGGTGTGGAAGTTTCTTGGAAAAGATCCGCATGGAGCCTTGAAATGCTTTAGTAATGATTGCTTTAATGGAAGAAAGACATGAGGACAGAGGTTAGGTCTCATTGTTGCACACTCAACTAATTAAATGTGTATTCCAGTTTTTTCTTCAACTCTGAACAATGTACAATTAATCTGTCAAATACCCATTGTTTATGTTCATAGTGAACAGATAGTGATAACACCGCTATTTCTCATCCAACTCACATGGCTTTTTCTTTGTGCCTCCAAGAGCCCCATGCAGAGCATTCAAGAACCACGTCATGAAGTCCACAGCATCTCCTACAGAACAGAAAACAATCAATCAGGACCACAACACACAGTATTCTCCAAGGGGCAGCATGTGTTGAAACCCTATTTGATTTTAATTTTCTTATTTTTTGTACTGCCATATCTGTTGCATCACATATCTTACCTTGCTTGGTAATTTGGAAGTTCTTCTTGCTGCACAGCACCACAGCCTGCAGCATCTCATGAGGAGACACGTGGGCCTTGAAGTTTCTCGGGTTCCAAAGTTTGCGCATCAGCTCACCAAACCTCTGCACCAAGAGGAACATGATGTCCCCCGGTGGCCTGCGGATTCCTCTGTAGTTTTCCTCCTCCAGGAAGTAGTTTCGCAAGGGCGGAACATTGGAAAAAGCCTTGGAAGAGGCAAATATGAAACAGCTGGTATTACTTAAAAAGTTTATGACTACGTCCAAATAAGGTCCACTGAGGCAGTTATTCATACCTGCAACACCACGTTGGCGTAGTCATTGGCTTTGATATTGTTGAGACCTACAATGCCTGGCAGGTACGTCGTACCATCGTAGGCTCGGTACAGTTTTCCCTGCTTGTCCAGCCCTGCAATGTGCTGCTTGGTGAAAGTTGGCTTTAGCACATACTGTAGAAAAAGAAGTGTCAACAAATTAGTGACAAAAAACTTAAGTCTGGAAATATGGACAAAAATCAAACCTCAGCATTGACAATACAATATTTTGAGCACCACATGTCAGAGTATCAGTACTGGTGCTTTAAAACAAACTTTAACCACCGTTATAACATTTTTGATACACAAGAGTGTCAGTACATGTGTTTTTCAAACAGGTTTACTCATTTATTGTTCACTGAATTCAGGTAGAACAGGTCATTTTAGTCTGACTCAGCTGTGATGTGATCTTTTACATCAGGAAAATACAATATTTGAACTATATCCTAATGTAATAATGACCAAACTTGCAAACATATCAATTCAAAGCATAATATTGATATTGCACCTATTCATTTCTCCACTCTGCAGTCATTCTCATTCCCTGTGAAATTTAAGTTTGCTTGAATTAAACTGAACATCAACATTCTTTCCAAGTTTTGTATCAAAAGCATAATAATACATGATGAGGAAATAACCTTGTGGTTTTACTTACAGTGATGTCTTCTAGTGAAGAATCAATGATCTCATAGTTGTCTGGCAGACAGTAAAACTTGAGAGTGTGCAGATTGAGGAATACATGATGGGTAAACTGTACACTGTGAGTGTAAGCATGGGACTTAAGACCTCTACCTACAAGGAAGCATACATGAGTGAATCAGTCTCCGCACAACAAAGTGTTTATTCTGGTTGAAATGTCAGATAGTTCGCCTACCTTGAAAGTATTTCCCACAAATAAGGCAGGCGTAGACATTGATATGGGAGAGAGAGATGGAGCAGAGCTTCTCAAAGTCAAAGTCCAGCACACTCCTAGTAGATTTACAGACAAAACTGGGAATCAGCTGCAGGGCTATAGAGATGGACAGTGCTTACTAGCATTTAGCAATAACATTAGCCGTGCATATTCAACTTTATCTTGCCTGTTTATCGTGTCAAGATAAGGGCAGTGACGGCTTCTCCGGTCTTCTACTACACGTCCTCGTCCTATTTTGGCTGTCACTGCAACATAAAGGGAAACACAACGTGCGAGGTCAGTTAAGATTATGTCCCATCATTTGGATGAAAGCTAGCTAAACATTCTAGCTAACGTAGCATTTAGTTCAAAGATGATGATGGTTTTGATACACTGTGTGCTGTGGAAGGGCGGTGCCTTACTACAGCAGTTTAAACCTACATGGAACAAATATTGAACGAGCCGCTTCTGTATAGCTGGACCAAACAGTGAGCAGAATCGAACGCACTTCCAGCTAGCTGCTAGTAACGTAGCTACTGGCTAACCAAATGTAGGACATACGTTTAACTTTAAAGTAAATAAACTTACCTCCGTCTTCGCTGTCATCGTCGTCCACCTCAGCCTCTCTTTCTCGCTTCAGAGAAACCATCACAGCAATGAGCTTGCGATCTTAATTTCAAAACAACAGAGAAATTACAACTTTATTTGGATTAGATGAATGGGTCTCACACCGTGCGCGTCGAAACTCGCGGTGTTTGTACGTCGCAGTTAGCAAATGGACGAAAACCTATCCCGGAGTTTGAAGCTACACCGATCCTTGAGCTGTTCGGTGCCAGAATTGATTACTCTTGATTTCTGGCAGCATAACCAGCTGCCTTTATTAAACGTTGTGTACCTTATTGTTGCGTTTATATTTTGATGCATTTTGTAAAAATCATCTTTAAAACAATGTTGTTGTTTTTTTAGATAGTATTAATTTATAAACTCCGGGAATTTCACGATTGGACAACAAATTACCATTAGCTAGCATATAGCTTTTTGTCAGTGCTCTGATTGAGACTTGTTGCAATCATAAGCGTCATTAGCTCCTAAATACTGTCATCATATTTGAGCTGTCTGTCAAAATGGATATTTTGAGAGACGATGAAGCGCATGAGCTGAAGTATAAACCTGGGGGGCGTTTGGATATGAGCCACGGCTTCCTGCACCATATCCGGAGGAACCAGATTGCTAGGTTATTTCCTTTACTACCGTTAGCTAATGCTAGCAGATAGCATACTAGCTAGTTCACGACATACAGCTACAGTATGTAAAGCTGCAGCTACACTTTTCTTTTTTTAATAGAAGTTGATCTGATGCTGAATGAAGGTTCATATGGAGGGCAGTATGATTCATAATGATTCATATACGCCCTTTTATGCCCAAAGTGAAAATATATGTAAAGGTCGTACAGGCCAAAGTTATCATTGGTTTAGGACATTGGATGCCAAACAACTGCTTATTGTAAAGAAAAAAGGATAAACAAATATAACTTATCGATTTGTTTCAGTATCGGCAGGGGCTTAATTGTGTCCATACTGTTACCAGATGCAGCCATCAACGAAGGGGCGAAGTCATTCAGCATGACATGTTTTTAAAATATGATCTCCAAGAGATATATTGATGATGAAGTCAATTTTACACCAAATTCTGGAGCTTAACACTTAGACACATATTTCTTGCTTACAATTATAACGTGTAAATGTATTTTACAATACCAAAATGCATTTCAGTAAAGCAATACCTAGTATGTGGTACATTACACATTTCAAAGCAATAACTAAATGTCGATTTTCTGGCTCTCCAAGAGATGACTATGATAAAGAGGTGAAGCAAGCTAAAGAGCTTCAGCGGCGGAGACACACCACAACCCCTAGACGACCCCGTCGACCTGACATCCAAGTGTACCATCCGCGACGAAGATGTAAGATCGATGTGTCCTTTCAATACGTTTCCGCCCATGATACTACATCCATTGAATAAAGTAAAGAGAACGTGTATGTGCTTCTTTTCCAGATGGATCAGAGTCAGGGGCTGGTGCTGAGGCTGAAGAATGGAATGAGAGTGGGTCGAGCACAGAGACTGAGATCCATGGGACTGAACTTTTCTGGCTTGACTACCAGGCGGACTCTGGTACCATTACGTCCTTCCTCGTGCACAAGGTTAATGGACATCCTATTGTCTAATGATTCTTCCTTTTTGTGTCCTTTGGTCTACTTTAGTTTGGTTTGGTCTTAATTTTATGATGTTCCTTGTGTTTTTAAAGGGTGATAAGCCTAAGAAGGTAGTGGAACGTGTTGCAGAAAAGAACATCTTGGATTCAGCTATGAGATCAGCTCTGGAGGCTCGGATTCGGAAGGAAATGGACAAAAGAAGAGACAAACGCTGAGTGATATCAAAAGCAAGAATGTGATGGCAAAGGGCCTACAGGTAAAGGCCTGTGGAATAATATTTCATTCGCAGTTCTGTGCTCCTCCAAAGCATCAACGCTGTTGACAGTGTTGGAGGCATGATGAGGAAGTGGATCCTGTACAATGACTGTCAGCAGAGATCCAATGTGTTGTCCCACAATCAAGTCGAGTCTTCTGTTTTTAAAGGAGAAGGAACAGTGCTTACCATAGACAGTATGGTTGGGAGTTGACTGTCATGTTCATGTTTACTACATTTTACTCACTTTGTACTGTTACCTCATATCCTGTCTCATAACACCTTTGAGTTGACTGGACCTATAAAGTTATGTTGTTGTTTTGAAACAGTTAAATTCAGAAAGGTGCAGGTACTCTCTGCCAGAGCTCTTGTTAACCTTCCTCCTCCATTGAACACCCCCTGTGTTTCTTGTGTTTACAAAAATCTAGTTTTTATAAAGAAGATTTAAACTTTTTTGGTAAATTCTTTTGAACAGAACATCTCTCAGTCTGTCAGCGATCTTGTGTTTAGAAATATGAGAATTCAGTTTTGTTTTTTAGTGAGTTGGAGAGTTTAGTGGATGTAGCCATGATAATGTGTTTGTGTGGCAACTGTGTTTCATTGTTTTCAGTATTCTAATTTATTTTCTGGTTGTTGGAAGACTTTTATTTTTGATACTGTAAAAATTTTTGAGGACACAACTTGTATATTTACATATACAATGACATATACATAAAAACAATTTCTTACTGTCCATGTGTCTGGATGTGCATTTATGGAATTGAACAGCCATAAAATGTGAATGTTTTTTTTTAGTCTCTTGATGCTCTGTACAAACTTAAATCTGACAGGAAAAATAGCAGAAATACATATAATATCAGCTTCAGCTGATTGATGGAGGTGTTTCACACCATGTTTTCAGCAGGTGGCAGTATGAGATAATTTTTCAACTCTGCATTCCTGTCTGCTGCTACCTAACATGAGCTTCAGCTGCTGTCTTATAAAATGTCAAGTGATATTTTAACATTTAGATGCACAGTAACAGTGCACTTTATCTGTAAAAACAAGACTGTATAGTGTCATTTCTATACCAAAGACAATGTTACTTGTCATTGTAAAAAAAAAAATCACATATCGTTTGTGAATATGAACGTTCAGGTATTTCATATTTTATTTTGTACTAAAAAATTTAAGGTAACACTGGAGATCTGAGGTGCTCTGATGACTTAGAGGTGGTCCCCAGGTCTACGTACTACTTGCAACCATTGTTGCAAGTCAGTCCCCATTTCTCTCTCCCCTCACTTCCTGTCATTTCTCTACTGTCAGCTACTTAATAAAGGCATAACCCCCCCCCCCAATCATTTGCAGTGCAGGGTCACTGGTGGATAAAACTGAGTGCTGCTTATCTGACAATGAGTAGTTCTTTGACTTTGTAGACAAGATGTCACTGTCTTTTGTCTTGTAAGGTGGGCTGAACTTTTGCATAGAAGCCCAATTCAGAGGTTTAGATTTTACAGTTTGCAGTGCTGCTCACAATGTATGAGTAAAATTGCATCTTGCGACTTCAAAATGCCCGTGCAACATTAGTTTTTCTGCTGATGGTGGCCTGTTTTGGTAGCAGCCATTATTTCCTTCTCCAGAACAATTAAAGAGTTTTTATAAGCTAAAAAGTTCGACAACCATTTCCATCGTGGGAAAAAAACAGTCGGCATGACATTTGGACAAACACAGTTGATCCTCTATAGTTGGAGATTAATTCATTGTTTTCATAAATGCATGAAAACATGCAAACTTAATCCTCAGACCACATGGCAGGCTGAACCGCCAGTGTTATGCAAAGCCTTATCAAGGAGGAGTGGGCTCTGTCATGCTATTGGTGGAACAGAGACACTCCCCTTTAAATTGTCAACGCCTTTCTCCAGCTCACTTTTCATTCCTCAGTCTGCATGTGACTGAAGTTATGAGAGGGGAAACACATTCCCATGTCACCTAGTGTGCTGCTCTCAAGATTATCTCCAGTTTCACCAGTTCTCAATTGGCTGAAAATGACCCAATCACAATCCACACCTTCGTACCCCTCGCTCCTCCTTACTGTAGCTTAACATTATATAACACATAACCTGTGTTTTGTAATTCACACTTAAGGAGCACCTGTCAAATGTTTTGACAATATGAAAATATTTACTGAAGTATCTGTTCTGACAGGCAGACTGGAAGCTATGCATTTGGCAGTAGTTGAAGTTGAATGTTGCGTAATCTGTTACATTAGATGTAATATGCAACATATTTCCATTTCTATTTAATTAGACGAGTCTACACGGCACTTTTGTTTCTGACCAATTGCAAAATAAGTCTAGCCATCTTAAAACAATATGTACATTTGCATTAAAACTATTGTTTTACTTAGATTCTCAAACACTCACATCGACGCAGTGCCCTCACCAAACCATTTAAGGGCTGCTCGCAATTCTGTTCTCAAAATCTCTTATTCAATAGAAAAATGCTCAGGGAGCTTCAGTTTCCATCTCATCATGGCCTACATCACACTGTTAGTTTTGATTTATTTACTGAGGTACTAAACTTTTGAATATTTAAGTAAATATTGCAAACAAAGTTGCATTGTTAAACACAAAAGTACCCAATATATGCCTTCACTCTCTTTAGTTAATGGAGTTCTGTTTATGTTGACGGCTGAACGTTTACATCCTGTTTTTTTCCCTTTTAGTTCAGTAAAATGGTGAGGCCCCAGGCTTCCTGCATTATCTTAGCTTGTATCTTTGATTCTCTCTCTCTTTTTCTCTCTTTCTGACTTTTTTGATACATCTTAACTGGAACAAACTACCTTGATACGCTCATGATAATCCAGTGTAACAAAACACATTTTGGAGTTTGTAATAGGATCAGCATGCCTATCTTTTTTTCTACATTCTTGTTTTGAATTTCCTCAGCCAATTAAAGAGATGGCTGTTACATAATAACCGTAGAGTTTAGGCAGAGTTGGCCACAATGACAAACTAAGTCTAAAGCCAATTTAATAACAGTTAAGATAGGCTTTTGGAATGTCACCAGAGCTACTGAAAATACAGTTACATAACTGTGGAGTTAACAATAAGACAGACTGATTCAAACATGCTCAGATGCACCTTTGTAACACTCATCACTACTGATAAGGTGATGTTCAATACAAACAAGTCACACATACAGGGTGAAGGAACTCAGAAATAATGTCAGACATAAATAACAAATTTGCATTCCACCCCTTAAAATTAATGCATTAGGTGATTATCGAGAAAAAA